TTGAGAGTCTTGCTCTTAGATCTTCTTCGCGAGCCCTTCAATGACCTTCGTCAATCTTGCGATGTGTTCTTCAAGAGTTGAAGCATTAGTTGTCATAACTGGGGCAACACTTGAGCTTGAATTTGATGAAGAGCTTGATGATGAGCGGGGAGTTGAGGAAGCGGAGTCGTCTTCATCACTTTCATGGGTAAGATGCAGCTTGTCACTTCCGATCACCTCGTGCAAAGGAGTCGTCTCCGAAGATGCTTGCAGTTGCTTGGTCATACTTCTTGTAACGACGCCGAGGTTGGAGCGTGAAGAACTTGTTGAAGGAATATTGACTACAACGATCTTGCGGCTAGTCATGATGATTTGAGGAATTTTAGAGAAGAGATGAGAGGTAGAGATGTCCCACCGGGCGTGCCAAAAATTTGTAATAACAAATTTCATGTATTGAATTTATAAACACGAAAAATATTATTCAAATGAATTTCTCGAATCAAAATAATATAGCGGGTTACAAATCTCTAATTTCTCCTCTAATTCTTCTCACAAACAATTTTAAGTCTTGAAGCGAAATCTTCGGTTTGATCTTCTCCTTGACTTGAATTAACATTAATCCGAGGGCCAACGCCTTGATTTCGGATCAAACGTCGAAATATCCCAAGAACGCGAAGAACACGAATCCTTGGTCTTCGTCGCAAAGTAGATCTTGAATCTTCTCCACGCCGGTTTTGAATTTCCTAACGTTATTCGGAGGCTTAGCAGCTTGTTTCTGGATTGAACGCCAGTCTTGAGGTTGAACGCGCTTGAATCTTGCTTCGAATCTTCAAGAACGCTTTTGAATCTTCAAGAACACTTGAATCTCATCGAGAGAATTCTCTAGAGCTCTTGAACTTGAATATGAATTATGATGTGTGTTTTTGGCTTTAGAGAGAGTCCCTATTTATAGGTGTAGGATGGAGAACCCTACCAAATTTAAAAATTGTAGGACGCAATTTGATTGGTCCATGATAATTCACATAAGATATTTTAGATCTATCTAGATCTCCCAAGATCTTAAAGACATGTGATTTATTATCAAGAATTAAGATTTGACACTTGGCAATATTTGATTGGTCAAGAAGTAAAATATTAAAATATCAATTAATTAACTATTTAAATTTAGGAATTAAATTTATGGAAATTCCTATAATATAAATAGAAAATACGACTTGATTTTTAATAAATTAATTTCCACGTGGTGCCATTTGATTGACCACAAATTTTATGTCTCTACAACTGTGTATTAGGTGGAGGGTTAAAATGGAAAAATATGAACAAAGTATCTAAAACGACATTTATTTTATCAATGATCAATTAAGCCAAAGTGATAAATAATAAAAATATGAGGGAGTATATATTATTATATATTTTAGTATGATACATGTTCATTGTGCGACTTATATGTGTTATATTATAATAAATTTTCAACCTTATAACATATAACTACATTAAACATAATTATATTAATTGATAGATAATTTTATTTTCTAATTAATTTTAATAAATAATTTTTTTTTTATTATATAGATAAATATAACTTGTTTATTTTATATATACAATATGGATGTCAAATCGAAGCTCATCAAAAGATGATTAATTTGATATATTATATATGTAAAACCGATAAAAAATACAAAAGTTATAAACTTTTAAAATATATTTGCAATTCAATAGTTATAATAAGAAATGATATTAAAATACCATTAATACAAATATTATTTTATATCCAAACCTAACTTCAAAGCATGACTTTTTGTCAAATAGGATTCTGAAGCATGAGAGTTTGCCACATAGGCTCAGCGCATTTTGAAATTATATATAGAGAGGATATATATATATAGGGTCACGCTCCGATGAGAATGGTGCTCAGTGAGAGAAATAAGAATACATTGTAACCATTAGATCGCATGATCCAACGGCTTAAGAAAAGCTCAAAATACAGCTTCAGTAAGGATAATACGGTCATTTTCTACAGCACCCCACTCCAAATTAATATAGCTGCCACCTAATCCATCTACTAGCCTTAATTATAAGTTATAACAGTGGGTCTCACCCACCAACTCACACATCTCCTCCCCACGATCTTCTCTCTCTCGCTCAACCACCATGCCCGTCAACAGCATACCTCTCCGGCCGTCGGCGTATTTTTCGGTGAACTCGACATCGCAACCTGGCTACCAAAACGCACCACGGACACCGGCGGATATCAGCCGCCACCTCCGGGAGCTCCACGGTCGTCCGTTAGTGGCCGCACCACCGCCCTCCATAGCTCTTGACGCTGTCGTGTCACCGTATTGCAGCTTCTTCTCCATCCACGACGAAAGCAGCACCATCCGCCAATATTGAGGGTCATTTTCCGTCGAGGAAACGCGGAGACGACATCCCGATAACATTCGGCCATTGATACATGAGTTGAGATCTCCGTGAGCACCTCGACATCGGACATCCTGTGCAATGAAACACGATCTTTGGCGTCTGAAGAAGCTTCAGGTGGTTAGTCGAGAGGAAGACTTTCAATCGTGGTGGTCGGACTTAAAAACTCCAGTAGCTCCGCACGGCCATGGCGGACACCATTCTTTCACCGAGATTGCGGCGATCAGAACGGCGGCGAAAATAGAGGCTCCGGTCAGAAAAAATTCCGGTGACTTGAAATCTGAAATTAGAGTGTGGGTTGGGCATATTTTTTGAGAATTAGATTATGTTTATGGACTAATTTGCAATTTTGATGATTTTAATTATATTTAAATTTAACCCATGGTCAAATCTATAATTATTGTAAGTTAATAAAAAAATATTTTTATATATTTTGTTGTCCATATATATTAAATAATAATAGTATAATTATTAAAATAATATAACAATAAACTAAGGAAATAAATAAATTATGTAATAAAGAATAATAAATAAAAGTATATTTTAATTATTTAGGTTAATTCGATGTACAGTTATATCTTTTTTTTTTCCCAAAACGATAGAGGAGATGTCATAAAGCTCAAGGAGGACAAAGTCCTAATACATTGTTCAAAGTACAAGATAAATCTAAAAATACAAACTGGGAGACTCACCCGTAGGTGGCCTAGAACCTCAACAAGAGGAAATAAACTACAAGAACTGAACAAACCGAATGACAATATACAATAGGGGCATTCACACTCTACTGCCAACGGCCTAGAAGGGCTCCTGCACCTACATTACAAAACCAAACACAGCAAACAAAAAAGAAACAAAAAACAAAATCAAGGCAACAGTCCATGAGCAGCTTGATAATGAGACCAATCAGATTGAGCCATTTTAATCACTGTTGCTGCTGGCATAAGGGTATTTTGAAATATCCATAAATTCCTTGACTTCCAAAGCCACCAAAGAATATAAGTAGAGAGCTGAATTCTGGCTTCGACAACTTCAGAATGGTCGAGGGAGCATATTTGGAACCACCAAGCTTTGAAGTGGTCTGTGCAGTCTGCAATTCCAGTCCATTTCACTGGTGATATATCCCAAACCCTGCAAGCTCTTGGACAATTAAGCAGTGTATGCTCTATGGTTTCTGATGCTTCACCACAGATAGAACAGATATGGTCAATGGGCACCTTTCTTTTAATCAGCAAGCTGGCAACAGGTAAGGTACCTATAATGCATTTCCAAAGGAAGTGTTTCAGTTTTCCTGTCACTTTGAGCTTCCAGAGCCTGAACTTCACAGATTTGTTGATGTTAGAACTGTTGCTGCTCTCTGGAATGTCCAAGATGGCCAATTTGATAGCTGAGAGCTTCTCATAAGTACATGAGACTGAAAATTGTCCTTTCTTGTCAAGTCCCCAATAAGATCTGTCTGCTCTTTTAAAATCAGTTTTCGAATACACATAATTTATTCGAGAATAAATAAATTAGTGCACTTTATATAACGGAATGTTGCATTGTATAAAACAACGCATTGCACTTTATAAAAACAGCATGTTGCACTTTATCACCACACTCTACAATTAATGTCAAACATCTCCCGTCAAAATATTACGCAATATAAATCTAAAAAAAGGGATCTACAAAATACTTGAATATCTATCACATCATCTATCCACACAAAAACAAGCGTGCTAACATACCAAATTTCAGTATTGCACTTTATATCAACACGTTGCATTTTATACAGCAATATGTTGCACATTATAATTCAAATGTTGTACCTTATAAAACGACACGATACACGTAAAATATAATAAATATGCTAATCGATCGATTAATATTAATCGGTTAAATGTCGAATTTAGTCTTTTTAAATAGACATAATAATATAACATGCCAAACTATATGAGGAGTATTACAGATTTTTTTATAAAAAAAATAATACTATTCTTTTTATCTATAATTTTATGTATTTCGATTGCACATTAGGATTATATGGATTGCACATAAATGTCTACCATATTTCACAAAATCGAGCGAGAGGCAACGAATAAGAATTTTAACATTCCGGTCGATCAGTTCGACCAAAACTAGTATGTTAACATTCTTGTATTATTATTATTTTTTAATAATAATGATGTGCATATACACACTCAATATTGTGCACTTTTTTTTATCAATTCATTTCTTCAAATTACCTTTTAACAAAATAACAAAAGAAAACTTTGACAGATTCAATTCTTTCCTATCCCTCTCCTTTCTTGCGTGACTACTGTTTTTATTTATTATGAAATGATGACTTCACAGTGCATTAAGATATATTTATTATAAATTATACCAAATTTCAATATACCAAACTTTTTATCTTAATTATTTGCTGGGTGAATGATATCAGTATATTATTCTCCAGCAGCTCCCTACGATGGTGGTTATTGCAAACTCCGAAAAGGATAAAGAAAAATAAAGCTAGTTTTTTCTAAAATTGCAACTAAGCCCTTACGAGTTATCGAATTTTCAATTTGAAGGCCCAGAAATTTAAATTGGATCTGCTGCAACACCACCTTCCTCTACAAGCCACGCTGCCACTGTTCATCCCGCCGTCCGATTCTACGTCGTCGGAGAAGATCCTCGCTCAAGAAGAAGACGTCATATTGTGCAATTTCAACCTGTACCGCGAGATCAAAGATGTCACCGAGCCCCGAAACTCAAAGTACAGATCAGAGAGTCGCACGAGGGAGACGCACGAGAACCTGTCCGCGACGTTAACCAAATACGGCGACGTTCTCTGTCATGAATGTGGCAGCGTTCGTGAGTCAGGAATTATTTATGGTGACATCCACGAAGGAAGCTGGACCTTTTGCGCGGCCGTAGGGATGATGACGGACGTCGTAATATATGGAAGAAGACGACGACGATAACGGCGGTGTAACTGGCGGCCGGCAGTAGGATGAAATAGCTCACGGCAGAGGTATTATGTATGTGAGTCTGTTCGTGCGTATGTATGTGAGAGAAAGAGTATGTGATTGCGTGTGAGAGAGGGTGATGGTTGGTGGGATGGGTGGGGCCCACGTGGGTGGATGAGTGGAGAGTGAAAATATCTATTTTGTCCATACTTAATGGTTAATTGTGTATATTTATCCCAGCATGTTCATTTATTTATCGTATTGTCACTCTATATTTGACTGACATTATTAATGTTTGACTTGATCATAGCCATTAACTTGATGAGTCCAGTGGCCTACAATCATTCTTATTTCTTTAACTATCTCCCTTTCTTATATGATTCTTTCTATATATATATATATATATATATATATAGATTTCACGACAGATTTGGTTCCATTCAAAATATGGTAAATTTAATATTTTACAATACTAAAAAGAAAAACAATATTTGGGAACAAAACAATATTAGTAGACTAAATTATGTGTTGTTTAAATAATCATTATTATAAAAAAACTGTCGATATGGGTACAATTTAGACTTATATCCAAAGTCTAAAAGAGAAAAAATTAAATCCAAAGTATGCAATAAAAAACTTATATCCAAGCAACTTAACTTTTGACATATAATTAGAAAAATATACTATATAAATAATAACCAATAATATCAATATTTATGGCAAAATTAGATTTGCAAGAAAAAAAAAACAAAAATAAATGTATACTTACCCAAATTGCAAATAAATTATTTATGTCAAATACTATACTTAATTCAAACCAATAATGTTTATGCAAACCAAATTATGAAGCACATATTTTTGCCACGTCAACATCTGAAGCGTGCGGACTTGTCATTTATGCTCAACATGTTTTAAATTAAATATTGGGACATTACGACTTTATTCAATTTTCTTTCACCCATAATGTTACTATGTTTTGTTGTTTTTCAATTATGTCAATTAGACATTTTATTATATTAGAATTTCATATTTAAATCACTAGTATTTAAATATATATTTAGTCATTAATCAAGTTGTATTATCACTCTCATCTATCTTACCTACAAAATTCTGGATACAAAATGAATGATTTGAATCACAATCCATCCAATTTTTATAAAGAGTGAAGAATGATAGAGATTAGAGAGGAATCAATGAAAATGGAAGCAAATCACGACGACGTCGTCATAGCAGAAAAAGATCTAAGACGACAATAAATACATTGAATTGAATAAGGGTGTTGCTATTTATCGCCCCCTTATTACTACGTACCGCCCCCCTTGGACAGTTTTTCCCCTGACATTTGTTCCAAAAAGAGAGAAAAAAAAAAGGAAATTGTCTTCGTCCGGTCGGCAAAACCGGACGTGACTGTGCACGTCCGCGATCGCGGGTAGGATGTGACCGTGCATGTTCGCGATCTCCGGTGGGACGCGACCGTGTACTTCCGCGATCGCCGGTAGGACGCGACCTTGCACGTCCGCGATCGCCGGCCGAACGGCAGATTTTTTTTTATAATCAATTTTTTTTATTATATAAATTATAAAATATTTATAATTTAAATTTAATTAGTTCATGTTATAAATTAAAATTATAACAAATAAAAATTGTTGTAATAAATTTATAACAAATAAAAATTAATAAATTTTGATAAGTTTTTATAATTTTATAATCTATCCAGTTTTTATAAATTATAATTTATAATTTATGCCGTTCTTATAATTTTTATAAAAATTTTAATTTTTATAATTTTATATTTTATTTAGTTTTTATAATTTTTATAATCCATTTTTTTTTTAAATTTTTATAATGTTTAATTAGTTTTAACAAATAAAAATTTATAATTTATAATTTGTAATAAAAATTTATAATTTTTTTTTATAATTTTTATAATTATAATTTATAATAAAGATACATTTATTATAAAAACAATTTATGTCGTTCGGCCATGACTACGTAGTGAGCTACCTGAATGTGAAGGTGGATGGAAACTGCAGATTTCGAATCATCGCGAGTTACGTGTATGGGGAGCATGAGATGTGGCAACTCACAAGAGAGAACATTGTGAATGAGGTTCAAAGCCACCGTGACTTGTACGAGTACATCTATTTTATGGATATCGACGCCGCACTCAGTTGTGTGAGATTTTCACATTAAATATAGATTATTTTTCTATATAATATTTTTATTACGAATCTTCGAAAAGAAGTTTCCCGGTCACATTTCAGAAAAGAGGGGGAAAATGGGAGTAATGGGCCGTCAAAATTTTGCACGTACACACGTTTCTCGATGCTTAAAGAGAAAAAGGACCCTTTAAATACCTGTACAAAGGCGTTCAAGTTTTTTCATACTCACGCAGTCACCAAAAGCACCACACACATACACACTCACACAAAGAGAACTTGCGAGATGGAGAGAAGCTTAAGGCAAGAGCGTGCTACGGATAGGAAAGCGGACTCAACCATCATGAAAGAAACTGACGGGTCAACTCAAGAGAAGGAGCCTGTCTCGAAGCGTAGGAACATACGTTCGTGTTTCAAAGAAATCGAAAATCACATCAATGGTATATTTTTTTTTTTTTTTCATTTTTAATAGACATGGGCTTCCAAGATTTGGCATTATTTTTTTATTTCTTTTAATGAAATTTCACTTTGGTTTTGGGTCTTATTGAAGTTCAATGTTTGTCCTGTACTTCTGTTGTTGTTCTTGATTACTTTTTTTTTCCAGAGGGAAAAGATGATTTGGCCAATGGGGATTCAGAAAATTTCATGACCATTATGAAAGAAGTGGAAAAAATTCACCAATATGGTAATATCCTCTCGTCTGGCTTTTTGTGTGAGTAGGGCTATATAGTAATATCCGCATAAGAAACAATGGTTACAGCATTTCCACACGAGTAAGGCTATATAGTAATATCCTTGCTGACCGTACGGTACTAGTCTGGGGAGTCTCGAACTGCCTGACTGACCATCCTGACCATCAAAATAATATCCCTGCTGACCATCTCGTACTGATGCAGGGGGTCTCGAACTCAGGCCAGCCAGACCAGTCTGTATCATCTGAGCCTCATCGATCAGCGTCTGCCTGTCCCGACGAATGGACGCATCTACACCCCAACTTCTAGTGTGTCGGGGGCCAGAACCTTGATAATTCTCATCGACCTCGTCGTCGTCCCTGGCAGATTGTTCAGGTCTACGAATACCCTATGTAACGCCCCAAATCAGAAATAATATTAAGAACGGTTTCACTGCTCGACTATAAGTGAAATCCGTAAGTTTTAGAATTTTCGAGTTATATGATATATGCTAAATGCTCAATTAATTCCTAAGTTTGATAGATCATTCTTGGGAATTCTCTATATTAAATATAAGTCAAGATCAATCCATTAATTTGGATTGTTAAAGTTATAGCAAATCGACTCGAGAAATTATCGGCTTCGAACCCTAGTTTAGTTCCGATTATTTTTCAAGTTATTTTCCGAGCATAGCCAAGTCTTGGTATATTTTATACTTAGAATAATTTCTAAGTGTGTGGGAATACCGAAGTTCAAGCCTTGGACATTTTAAAAATCGAGCCATAGTCCATACCCGAGCCGCTCGTGCCGAATCCCGCACCCGCGCCTCGAGCCGCGCCCAAGAACATGCTACCGAGCCCAAGGCTTGTCCTAGCCATAGCACATTAGTCCTAATATTTTTCTAAGTATGGGAGACCACCATGGAAGCCTTAACAAGTGAGGAGCTAGGCCCAAGACTCCATTCCCGCGCGCAGCCAACCTCCCGCGCCAGCCCAGCACGCCCTCGCGCCCAGGCCCAGTGCCGCGCCCCAGCAGCCAGCGCCCAGCCCAGCGGCAGCGTGCACAGCCCACATTTTAAGCCCAATTCCATAATTTCTGGACCACTTTCCTCATAACCCAATTCAGACGTTTAACTAGGACTTAATAAGGGACTAATTGAGCTTAAGTTACCCTAAGCAATGTTTAAAGAAAGTCACTTAATGCCAAGCAACATGGAGCATGTGCCTTGCATTATTTTATTCAAGTAGTTTGTCCTTGTCCCCCATTTTTGTATCAAGGCTGACCAGACCACTTACCTAAGTTTTTGAGCTCTGAAGTCTCCACCCAAAACGTGCATGAAGTCAGTCAAAGATGCCTCCTCATGACCCCAAACCCATGCGCATGGGGAAGACCATGTCCCCCACTCATTCACCTAGTTATTTCCGGCCCCATGCCTATTTAAGCCTTCCCAAGTCAGTTGGTATTAGCTCTTGCCTCCTTAAACATTCCAAGATTTATTAAGTTCAGCAAAAATAGAGAGGAAAGAGAGTTAAGGCCGAGACAAGCCCTTTTGGCCACTACCGAGCGCTCGCAACCCGGGGGAGGGGGAGGACCAACCATCTCGAGTTCCAAGCGAATTCTTCCAAGGCTTATCATCTTCTAAGTGTTTATTAGAATTTTATAAGTCTTGTGGAGTTCCTAAGCTCGGCCAAATCACACCACAAATTGACCTAAGCCCCAAAAGCTGCGCCTAGCCCATTCCAAGCCCTAGGTTTCGTTTCTTGCATTTTGGTGAAGGTTAGTCCGAGTCAACTTCTTTCCAAAATTATTTTATTATGTTTTAAGATTTTTAATAAAGAAAAACCGAGCCATGCATGAGTTTATAAGCAAGTTTCGGATTTAATGATTAAATGTTCTTAAAAATGAAAATTTAGTAGCAAGCATGCCTAAGTCGAGACTTGTGGTTAAATCACTCTTAAAAATCATGTTATTGATGATGTTAAAGTTTGAGAATGAAATGAGTTCATTAACTTAGTCAAATCATTCATGAAAATGGGGTATTTTGAGCACCCGAGGCTTACCCTTATGCATGCAAGTTATGAACCATGTTCCTACCCATTTTATCCATCATTTATCATGTTAAACATTCGACCCTGAGTGGATTTGTAAGTTATGAATGTTGGTTCAGACGTCAAGTGCTCGTACATGCCATTTAGGCCCTATCGAGTGAACATGCACGTGGACCCGGGGTCCAGTAGTGTTTCATAGCATATTTGTAGCACATTTATCATATTATGTTCATATGTCATGCATGTTACCGGAGAAAATCGCCGGAGGTCCAGCAAGGGCTGGCCTTGGTCACTGGCCGCGCACACAGCGCGGCAGTACCCGGCCCCGAGCCAGTCCGTGCCCGCGCCGGCATGCGCGAGGTACCCGCAGCACCAGTGCCCGCGACAGCGCGCCAGCA